AGCCCCTGGTGGCGCAGTGGGTTAAACCCTTGTTCTGGCAGGACTGAAGATGGCCAGGTCAGAGGTTCAAATCTGGGGAAAGCACAGATGAGCTCCCTCTGTCAGTTCCAGCTCCCCATGTGGGGACATGAAAGAAGCCTCCCACAAGGATGGTAAAACATCAAAATACATCCGGGCAATGTCCCCTGGGCAACATCCTTGCAGACGGCTAATTCTCTCACACCAGAAGCGATTTGCATGCTCCTGGAACACCCAAAGAAGTCTCCCCAAAGGGGACTCAAAGCATTAGGATACAATTTAAAATATATTATTATTATATTATAATATATTATATTGATTTATACTCTGCTTTATCTCCCCAAAGGGGACTCAAAGTAGCTTGACATAAAAGCATTAGGATCCAATTTAAAATATATTATTATTATTATTCATAGAATCATAGTTGTAAGAGACCTCATAGGCCATCTAGTCCAACCCCCTGCCAAGAAGCAGGAATATTGCATTCAAAGCACCCCTGACAGATGGCCATCCAGCCTCTGTTTAAAAGCTTCCAAAGAAGGAGCCTCCACCACAATCCGGGGCAGAGAGTTCCACTGCTGAACGACTCTCACAGTCAGGAAGTTCTTCCTCATGTTCAGATGGAATCTCCTTTCTTGTAGTTTGAAGCCATTGTTCCATTGTGTCCTAGTCTCCAGGGAAGCAGAAAACAAGCTGGCTCCCTCCACCCTGTGACTTCCTCTCACATACTTATATATGGCTATCATATCTCCTCTCAGCCTTCTCTTCTTCAGGCTAAACATGCCTAACTCTTTAAGCCACTCCTCATAAGGCTTGTTCTCCAGACCCTTGATCATTTTAGTCGCCCTCCACTGGACACATTCCAGCTTGTCAATATCTCTCTTCAATTGTGGTGCCCAGAATTGGACACAATATTCCAGGTGTGGTCTAATCCAGGTGGAATAGAGGGGTAGCATGACTTCCCTAGATCTAGACACTATGCTCCTCTTGATTATTATATATTATTCTATTATAATATATTATATTGATTTATACTCTGCTTTATCTCCCCAAAGGGTACTCAAAGTGGCTTGAAATACAAATTTATTTATTTACTATACTTGTATACTGCCTTTCTCAGCCTAATGGCGACCTAATAAAAATATTAGGATCCAATTTAAAATATATAATTATTATATTATATTACTAGCCATCCCCTGCCATGCCTTGCTGTGGCCCACATGGGGTTCTGTATGGGAGATTTGGCCCAATTCTATCCTTGGTGGGGTTCAGAAGGCTCATTGATTGTAGGTGAACTATAAATCCCAGCAAATACAACTCCCAAATGACAACATTTAAATTTTTTTGAGTGCAGGACATACATTGTGTTATTAGGAGTCTTGTGTCCAAATTTGGTGTCAATTTGTAGAGTGGTTTTTTAGTTCTGTCAATCCCACAAACGAACATTACATTTTTATTTATGTAGACTAGTTGTCCTCTGGCTCGCGTTGCTGTGGCCCACATGGGGGTTCTGTGTGGGAGGGTTTGACCGAATTCTATCATTGGTGGGGTTCGGAATGCTCTTTGACAGTAGGTGAACTATAAATCCCAGCAACTACAACTCCCAAATGTCAAGAATCTATTTCCCCCAAACTCCACCAGTGTTCACATTTGGACATATTGAGTATTCTTGTGGGGTTTGGTCCAGATCCATCATTGTTTGAGTCCACAGTCATCTTTGGATGTAGGTGAACTACAACTCCAAAACCAAAGGTCAATGCCCACCAAGCCCTTCCAGTATTTTCTGTTCGTCATGGGAGAACTGTGTGCCAAGTTTGGTTCAATTCCATCGTTGGTGGGGTTCAGAGTGCTCTTTGATTGTAGGTGAACTATAAATCCCAGCAACTACAACTCCCAAAAGACAAAATCAATTTTTTTAGTGAAGGACATACATTGGGTTGTTAGGTGTCTTGTGTCCAAATTTGGTGTCAATTTGTCCAGTGGTTTTTGAGTTCTGTGAATATCACAAACAAACATTACATTTTTATTTATATAGATTACATTGATTTCTACCCTGCTTTATCTCCCCAAAGGGGACTCAAAAAATATAAAAACATTAGGATCCAATTTAAAATATATTATTATTATTATTATATTGATTTATTCTCTGCTTTATATCTCCAAAGAGGACTCAAAATGGCTTGACATAAAAGCATTAGGATCCAATATAAAATATATTATTATTATTATTATTATTATTATTATTATATTGATTTATAATCTGCTTTATCTCCTCAAAGGGGACTCAAAGTGGCTTGACATAAAAATTTATTTATTTACTATACTTGTATACCGCCTTTCTCAGCCTATTGGCAACCTAATAAAAATATTAGAATCCAATTTAAAATATATTATTATTATTATTACCCGTTTTATGTCCCCAAAGGGGACCCTCAGGGCCATTCCTTGCACACAGCCATAGAACCCAGAACATCAAGGTTGATCATCCACAAGATCTGCTTTGAACCGGGTTCTCTGTGCCCACACTGCCATATAACCCATATAACCCGAGGTGGATGTGATACAACTGCGTGGAAGGGGCGGATGTGAGAGCCGTTCAGCAGTGGAACTCTCTGCCCTGGATTGTGGTGGAGGCTCCTTCTTTGGAGGTTTTTAAACAGAGGCTGGATGGCCATCTGCCGGGGGTGCTTTGAATGCAATATTCGTGCTTCTTGGCAGAATGGGGTTGGACTGGATGGCTCATGAGGTCTCTTCCAATTCTAGGATTCTATGACTGTGAGAGAGCTGTTCAGCAGTGGAACTCTCTGCCCTGGGGTGTGGTGGAGGCTCCTTCTTTGGAGGCTTTTAAACAGAGGCTAGATGGCCATCTGTCGGGGGTGCTTTGAATGCAATATTCCTGCTTCTTGGCAGAATGGGGTTGGACTGGATGGCTCATGAGGTCTCTTCCAATTCTAGGATTCTATGACTGTGAGAGAGCTGTTCAGCAGTGGAACTCCCTGCCCCGGAGTGTGGTGGAGGCTCCTTCTTTGGAAGGCTTTGAAACAGAGGTTGGATGGCCATCTGTCGGGGATGCTTTGAATGCAATATTCCTGCTTCTTGGCAAGGGTTTGGACTGGATGGCCAACTCTATGATTCTATGACTGTGCGAGCTGTTCAGCAGTGCAACTCTCTGCCCCAGAGTGTGGTGGAGACTCCTTCTTTGGAGGTTTTAAACAGAGGCTAGATGGCCATCTGTCAGGGGTGGTTTGAATGCAATATTCCTGCTTCTAGGCAGGGGGTTGGACTGGATGGCTAACTCTATGATTCTATGATTCTTTGACTGTGAGAGCCGTTCAGCAGTGGAACTCTCTGCCACGGAGTGTGGTGGAGGCTCCTTCTTTGGAGGCTTTTAAACAGAGGCTGGATGGCCATCTGTCGGGGGCTTTGAATGCAATATTCCTGCTTCTTGGCAGAATGGGGTTGGACTGGATGGCTCATGAGGTCTCTTCCAATTCTAGGATTCTATGACTGTGAGAGAGCTGTTCAGCAGTGGAACTCCCTGCCCCGGAGTGTGGTGGAGGCTCCTTCTTTGGAAGGCTTTGAAACAGAGGTTGGATGGCCATCTGTCGGGGATGCTTTGAATGCAATATTCCTGCTTCTTGGCAAGGGTTTGGACTGGATGGCCAACTCTATGATTCTATGACTGTGCGAGCTGTTCAGCAGTGCAACTCTCTGCCCCAGAGTGTGGTGGAGACTCCTTCTTTGGAGGTTTTAAACAGAGGCTAGATGGCCATCTGTCAGGGGTGGTTTGAATGCAATATTCCTGCTTCTAGGCAGGGGGTTGGACTGGATGGCTAACTCTATGATTCTATGATTCTTTGACTGTGAGAGCCGTTCAGCAGTGGAACTCTCTGCCACGGAGTGTGGTGGAGGCTCCTTCTTTGGAAGCTTTTAAACAGAGGCTGGATGGCCATCTGTCAGGGGTGCTTTGAATGCAATATTCCTGCTTCTTGGCAGAATGGGGTTGGACTGGATGGCCCATGAGGTCTCTTCCAACTCTAGGATTCTATGAACTTAGACCAGGATCCTACTCTGAAAGCACACTGTTCTTGAGGAGGCTCCTTTGGAAGCTTTTAAACAGAGGCTGGATGGCCATCTGTCAGGGGTGGTTTGAATGCAATTTTCCTGCTTCTTGGCAGGGGGTTGGACTGGATGGCCCATGAGGTCTCTTCCAACTCTGATTATAAGGAGATTCCTGACTGTGAGAGCTGTTCAGCAGTGGAACTCTCTGCCCCAGAGTGTGGTGGAGGCTCCCTCTTTGGAAGCTTTTAAACAGAGGCTGGATGGCCATCTGTCAGGGGTGCTTTGAATGCAATATTCCTGCTTCTTGGCAGGGGGTTGGACTGGATGGCCAACTCTATGATTCTATGACTGTGAGAGCTGTTCAGCAGTGGAACTCTCTGCCTCGGAGTGTGTTGGAGGGTCCTTCTTTGGAAGGCTTTGAAACAGAGGCTGGATGGCCATCTGTCAGGGGAGCTTTGAATGCAATATTCCTGCTTCTTGGCAGAATGGGGTTGGACTGGATGGCCCATGAGATCTCTTCCAACTCTAGGATTCTATCATTCTATGACTGTGAGAGCTGTTCAGCAGTGGAACTCTCTGCTCCAGAGTGTGGTGGAGGCTCCTTCTTTGGAAGCTTTTAAACAGAGGCTAGATGGGTGCTTTGAATGCAATATTCCTGCTTCTTGGCAGAATGGGGTTGGACTGGATGGCTCATGAGGTCTCTTCCAACTCTAGGATTCTAGGATTCTCTGAATGCGGCTTGCAGAGGCGGAAAGAAGAATGGCAGCGAGCACTCAATGGGAATGCAACCCAACTCCTTGCAAAGTTTGGGAAAGAAAGAGGCGGGGTCCCCGGGAAGGACGAGAGAGAGAGAGAGAGAGAGAGAGAGGAGGAGGAGGGGGCTGCAGCAGCAGCAGCAGGTGAGGGTCCTTCTTTCCTACCTGGTCGGGCGGGCAGCGGGCAGAGGAGGAGGAAGAGGAGGAGGTCCAGGAGGAGGAAGGGCATCTTCGGGAGGGAGGAGAAGCCTGCTTCTGGGAAGGCCCACGGGGAAAGCAAAGCGATCTCTCCTTGCCTTTCCGCTGCGGAGAAAGAACTTTGGCGTGGCGGAGGAAAGAAGAGAGCAGCCCCAGCAGCAGCGGCAGCATCCTCTCCTCCTCCTCCTCCTCCTCCTCCTCCGGCAAGCCGGGTCTGATTGGCCCTCCTCGCGCCGCCCGCCCGCCCCTCGGCCCGCCCGCTCCCACGCTCCCCGGTCAAGAAGAGCAGGAGAAGTCGGCAGGGGGCGCCACGCAGGACAAGCCCCTGAGCAGCCAGCCCACCCGCGCCCCCTCCCCGCCTGCCCTCCCGAAGAAGCCCTCACCGAATCATAGAATTGGAAGAGACCTCGTGGGCTCTCAATTCCGCCTGAACATGAGGAAGAACTTCCTGACTGTGAGAGCTGTTCAGCAGTGGAACTCTCTGCCCCGGAGTGTGTTGGAGGCTCCTTCTTTGGAAGCTTTTAAACAGAGGCTGGATGGCCATCTGTCAGGGGTGCTTTGAATGCGATTTTCCTGCTTCTTGGCCAGAGGCTGGATGGCCATTTCTCGGGGGTGCTTTGAATGCAATTTTCCTGCTTCTTGGCCATGGCTGGATGGCCATCTGTCGGGGGTGCTTTGAATGCGATTTTCCTGCTTCTTGGCCAGAGGCTGGATGGCCATTTCTCGGGGGTGCTTTGAATGCAATTTTCCTGCTTCTTGGCCATGGCTGCCCCGACTGATGGCCATCCAGCCTCTGGCCAAGAAGCAGGAAAATTGAATTCAAAGCACCCCCGACAGATGCCCATCCAAAGCCTCCAAAGAAGGAGCCTCCACCACACTCCGGGGCAGAGAGTTCCACTGCTGAACGGCTCTCAGTCAGGAAGTTCTTCCTAATGTTCAGGTGGAATCTCCTTTCTTGGAGTTTGAAGCCATTGTGACCACATTTCCTACCATAAACCTACACGATCTATCTTCTGGAGAGGCCCTCCTCTCACCCTTTCCACTATCCCAAGCCCGATTTGTGGGTACGAGGGAGAGGGCCTTCTCCGCTGTGGCTGTTGTTCCATTGCATCCTGTCTCCAGGGCAGCAAAAACAAGCTTGCTCCCTCCTCCCTGTGGCTTCCTCTCACATATTTATACATGGCTATCATATCTCCTCTCAGCCTTCTCTTCTTCAGGCTAAACATGCCCAGCTCTTTAAGCCGCTCCTCATAGGGATTGTTCTCCAGACCTTTGATCATTTTAGTCGCCCTCCTCTGGACACATTCCAGCTTGTCAACATCTCTCTTCAATTGTGGTGCCCAGAATTGGACACAATATTCCAGGTGTGGTCTAACCAAGGCAGAATAGAGGGGTAGCATGACTTCCCTAGATCTAGACACTATGCTCCTCTTGATGCAGGCCAAAATCCCACTGGCTTTTTTTGCCGCCACATCACATTGTTGGCTCATGTTTAACTTGTTGTCCACGAGGACTCCAAGATCTTTTTCACACGTACTGCTCCCGAGCCAGGCATTGATTTTTTATGCCAAAGTGGAGTATCTTGCATTTGTCACTGTTGAACTTCATTTTGTTAGTTTTGGCCAATCATCTCTCTAATCTGTCAAAATCGTTTTGAATCCTGCTCCTGTCCTCTGGAGTATTGGCTATCCCTCCCAATTTGGTGTCGTCTGCAAACTTGATGATCATGCCTTCTAAACCTTCATCTAAGTCATTAATAAGGATGTTGAACAGGACCGGGCCCAGGACGGAACCCTGCTGATGGCACTCCGCTCGTCAATTCTTTCCAAGATGAAGAGGAAGCATTGGGGAGAATCACCCTCTGGGTTCGTCCACTTAACCAATTACAGATCCACCTCACCGTAGTTTTGCCTAGCCCACATTGGACTAGTTTCCTTGCCAGAAGGTCATGGGGGACCTTGTCGAAGGCCTTACTGAAATCCAGGTATGCTACATCCACGGCATTCCCCGCATCTACCCAGCTTGTAACTCTATTGAAAAAAGAGATCAGATTAGTCTGCCATGACTTGTTTTTGATAAATCCATGTTGACTATTAGCGATGACCGCATTTGTTTCTAAGTATTTGCAGACCACTTCCTTAATGTTCCTTTCCAGAATCTTGCCTGGTATCGACGTGAAGCTGACCAGACGGTATTTGTTTGGGTCATCCTTTTTTCCTTCTTGAAGATTGGAACCACATTTGCCCTCCTCCAATCTGCTGGGACTTCTCCCAGGAAAACGGGGAGGTGGAGAAAATGGGTCTGGCGGGGGCACCTCGGCCGGCCTTGAAGAACACAGCATCAGGGATCAAGACAGGTCCAACTTGGGCACCTGAGACTGGCACTGAAGCACACCTTACCTGGGAAAGCTTGGGCACCGCGAAGCTGGCATTTAGCACCCAATCTTGGGCATCGGGAAGCTGTCCACTGAAGCACACATTACCAAGAAAAACAAGCTTGGGCACCTGGGCTGGCATTTAGCACACACTCTTGTGCACCTGGAAGCTCTAATTTAGGTACTCATTAGCAGGGAAAGCAGGTAAGACTTGGTCACCTTGATAGGCATTCAAGCACACACCATCAGGTGAAACTTGGGGACCTGAGATTGGCATTTGAACGCCCATTACCAGGGAAAGCAGGTAAGACTTGGGTACCGGAGATTGGCATAGAAACACACTCTCACGGAAAGCAGGTCTGGCTTGGATACCTGGACTAGCATTTAGCACACATTTTGGGCCACCAGGAGATTGGCATTTAACCATACACTACCTGCCAGGGAAAGCAGGTAAGACTTGGGCACCTGGACAGGTATTAAAGCACACACCATCAAGGATTAAGACAGGTCAAACTTGGGGACCTGAGATTGGCATTTGAACACTCATTACCAGGGAAAGCAGGTAAGACTTGGGTACCTGCAGGCTGCAATTTAGGCAAATATTAAAACTGTACAGCCTTGGGCACCTGGGCTGCCATTTAGCAAAGACTTTTGGCACCTGGAGGCTGGCATTTAGGCACTCATTACCAGGGAAAGCTGGTAAAGCTTGGGTACCTGGAGTCTGGCAATGAAGCAACACACATTGCCAAGGAAAGCGGGCCAGGCTTTCGCACCTGGAATCTGGCATCCAAGCACAGTGCGTTCAGCAAGCTACAAAAGTATAACACTGTACACTGGACCTCCTTACATAAAGAAGTGTGGATGCTCTCTTTCGCACACACATATATAGTCAAGCACAGCCTGCATGATGTCAAAAAATACTCACTTTGCAATACTGTTAAGCCACTTCCATTTTAGGGTTGTGGAGATGCCAAGAGTATAGAAATGTCCCTGGGTTATCTATCTATCTATCTATCTATCTATCTATCTATCTATCTATCTATCTATCTATCTATCTATCTATCTATCAGGTGTGGAAGTGGCTGTGGGAGAGATATAGGTGACAGACAGATAGGTCTCTCCCTTGTGCCAAGTACTGTCCTTCTAACCCAGCGTTTCTCAACCTGGGGGTCGGGACCCCTGCGGGGGTCGTAAAGGGATGACAGGGGGGGTTGCCAAAGACCATCAGAAAACACAGTATTTTCTGTTGGTCATGGGGTTATCGTGGTTATTAATTTATTATCATATCAGCAACCAGACATTTGTATTATATTTTTAACAAAAACAAACAGACAAAACACAAAATTTGCAAGCTTGGTAGTTGATTAGATGTCCTTTGACCAGTATCTGGCCACTTGGAGTGCCTCTGGTGTTGCCTCAAGGAGGTCCTCCATTGTGCATGTGGCAGGGCTCAGGTTGCATTGCAGCAGGTGGTCAGTGGTTTGCTCTTCTCCACACTCGCATGTCGTAGATTCCACTTTGTAGCCCCATTTCGTAAGGTTGGCTCTGCATCTCGTGGTGCCAGAGCGCAGTCTGTTCAGCGCTTTCCAAGTCGCCCAGTTTTCTATGTGCCCAGGGGGGAGTCTCTCATTTGGTATCAGCCATTGATTGAGGTTCTGGGTTTGAGCCTGCCACTTTTGGACTCTCGCTTGCTGAGGTGTTCCAGCGAGTGTCTCTGTAGATCTTAGAAAACTATTTCTAGATTTAAGTCGTTGACGTGCTGGCTGATACCCAAACAAGGGATGAGCTGGAGATGTCTCTGCCTTGGTCCTTTCACTATTGGCTGCTACTTCCCGGCGGATGTCAGGTGGTGCGATACTGGCTAGACAGTGTAATTTCTCCAGTGGTGTAGGGCGCAGACACCTCGTGATAATGCGGCATGTCTCATTAAGAGCCACATCCACTGTTTTAGCGTGGTGAGATGTGTTCCACACTGGGCATGCATACTCAGCAGCAGAGTAGCATAGCGCAAGGGCAGATGTCTTCACTGTGTCTGGTTGTGATCCCCAGGTTGTTAGATGGGTTAAGGATCAGCTGGTTTTCCCTGTAGTAGGCAGTAAGGGCACCTAGAGCTTCGGAGAGCTTCTGTTCTACCATCTCAAAGCTCCCTGCTTGAGCAGTAATAGCATTGGTAGGATTCAGAATGCTCTTTGACTGTAGGTGAACTATAAATCCCAGCAACTACAATTCCCAAATGTCAAGGTCTATTTTCCCCAAACTCCACCAGTATTCAAATTTGGGCATATTGGGTATTTGTGCCAAATGTGGTCCAGTGAATGAAAATAAATCCTGCTTATCAGATATTTACATTACGATTCATAACAGGAGCAAAATGACAGTTCTGAAGTAGTAATGAAAATAATGTTATGGTTGGGGGTCACCATAACATGAGGAACTCTATTAAGGGGTCGCAGCATTAGGAAGGTTGGGAAGCACTGTTCTAGCCTCAGATGCAAGGTTTTAGGTTGCCATTGGCTAGGATTAGCTTTTTAAAAAGACAGAGAAAAAGAAGCCTTTCTTTACTGCCTCCCCATTCTGTCTTTTGTACTCTCTCTCCTTGCCATTTGAAATACCCACTGGAGTCGCCCAGGATTCTGACCATTCTGGCATAGTTCAGAGACATCCAACGTAAGCTAGAACAGCCATGG